AACTGATCTCTGCAGTCTGGAGATGAACTGTAATTCGGGAGGATCCCCATATCCCAGCTTGAGACTGGCATCCCTGGAGTGATCTTGGGCCAGTCATACTCTCTCAGCCTAACCTGCCGCACAGGGTTGTTATAAGGATAAATTGGAGGAGGAGAGGAGAATTATGTAAACTACTTTGTGTTGCCATTGTAGAGAAATCTGCATATAAATCTGCATTAAATAATAAACCATTTCCTGGTCTCTCTTCCTGGGCTCTTCATGCCTGAAATTTGACACCCCTAGACTAAAGAGGGAGTTGCCTTGGCAATGGCAGGGTCCTGGAGGGTGCTCTGGGCTCTCTTTAGTAAAGCCCAAAAATCAGGGTGGTACAAAGGCAGTGGGGGCAGACGTTGCCTGCTCTAGGCCTGAACAGGTCATGGGGAAAGGAGGGTGTATGGGTGGGGGAGATCTCTGGAAGGGATATCCTGTCTGAGGCAAGCCTGTATGGCCCCCTACCCCATACCGTGACAGAAACATACATAGAATTTCAAGGAGAGGTGGGGGAAGTTTCAAGAAATCACTCAGCCAAATTCCTCAAGTCCAGAGGTCATTTCGGGGGGGAACGCGGGGGAACGCAGTTCCCCTGGGTGAGGTGCAGGGGGCGGGGCACATGACGAAGCCCCGCCCCCTGCTTCCGGCCGCCCCGCTTCCAGCCCTCATTCAGCCAGGAGGAGGCAGGAGAAGAGGGAGGGTAAGTTGCTTCCTCCCCACCTCTCCCCAGCCCTGCCTGCCTGGGGCCAGGGAGGGCCTTCGCGGGGCTTCCTCACACTCCCGCTGGCATCGCAGGTCCACCGCCGGGCCCCTCATGGGGCTCGGCAGTGGAGCTGCAAGGCCAGCGGCGGCTGGTAAGTTGCTTCTTCCCCGCCTCTCCCCACCCCTGCCTGCCTGGGGTCAGGGAGAGCCTTGGCGGGGCTTCCTTGCACTCCCGCCTGCCTTGCAGGTCCACCGCCGGGCCCCTGATGTTTGGGGGTGCTAATGAGTTCCCCTAGCTCTTTTTCTACGAAATGACCCCTGCACTCAGCCAAATTCCTCAAGTCTCACTATTACCAAGAACTTTCCCCAAAGGTAAAAATTGGAATTGAATTTGATACTTCTGGCTTGAAAAAATGGTTGTGGGAATTTATGCAAATTTTGAGGTGAGTTTGGAGGTTCCTCCTCAGGCAAAAGAGCTGAGGGATTTGGTGGTAGTTCTGGGGTGAATGTGCAAAGCCACCTGGTGCTTCTCAGGGAGAAAAATGGATGAAGGATTTGGAGAAAACGCTGAGGTGATTTGAAGGAGACCGGAGGTTGCTGCTGAGGAAAAACAAATGAAGGATTTGAAGGCAATCCTGCTGTGGTAATCTGGTGGTGAATTTGAAGGTTTCTGTTCAGGCCAAACAGGTGAGATATTTTGAAAAAAATTGGACATGGATTTGGAGCGCTTGAGGAGAAGCACATAATGAATGTGGAGGTGGAAGTTGGAACTTCCTGTTTGGGCACCAAAATTTTCAGAGTCGAGAAGGAATGTTATTTTAATACTAGCCGAATTCTTCAGAGGAAAGGGGAGAGTTCTACACATCCCTATAAAACCCACTGCTATCTGGAAATGTTGAAAGAATCGTTTGCCTAGGAGAATTTATCTCCTTAGAAACTTTCTAAAAAGTCACTAATAATAATTTCAAAGATAAAAGTATAAAATAAAAGGCATAGATAAGAATATAGATTATGTCTTGCAACAAAATTGAGCTTTTCTCCCCCATAATGGTTTCAGTTTGGGAAATTCCTGCAGATTTGTGGGTGGTGCTTGGGGAGGGGGGGGAGAGCAGGGAACTCCGTGGGAATGGGATGTAACCTTAGGATTCTGTTTTCACCCTCCAAAACTACCATTTTCTTCAGGGGAACTGTCATTTTCTTCAGGGGTGGAGTTTGGAGAGGACATTGTGTCACTACCAGGTAATGCCCTAGGCTGCCTCCCCTAATCCCTGTCTTTACCATAGAGACTAGGGGGAAAGTCCTGGAGTGTCACTGTGTGGAGGTCATTTTTTTCTCCTGCTCCTCAGTTCCTCAGTTGTTTGGATTGGGAATTTGGGTCTGGAGCAGGTAATTCCTTGGTTGGGGCCAGTTAATGGTAAGCCTAATGGTAAGGCATTGCTTCAAGAAATGTTCTTTCTGCCTTCCTCTTAAGCTATAGATCTCTACAACTATAAGGGGATGTTTCCCAAATCTGAAATTTACCCAAGAGCCAGAAATTTAGTCTGATTTCTAAAATTTTGAAATGGTTCAAATTCCCCTGATGAAATCCTTTGGTCTAAAAAAAAAAATCATTTATGTTCCTCAGCCCAGAAATGCTCTTGACTTACAACGTGCTCAAGCTTCTTACAATGGTGGCTCAGTGTGAATTAATTTTAATGCAAGCATGTTAAGCATCAACTTTCTAAATTCAATGCAATATTTCTATTCCATTTTATTCTCAGATCTGTTAAATCAACAATACCCGTAAGTGAGGGAAACTTGGACAAGGATGCTGATATCAATTTTTAAAAATTCTGTAAGAAAATTTGCAAGGTTTAAGAATTACTTTGAGAATTCCACACACTAAAATTCCAGTAGTAATCCAATCCTACACAGATTTACTCAGAAGCAGCAGAATGTACCCTCAAGCCACAAGTCACCCATGAGGCGTTTCAGGCAAGTGACAAGCAGAGGTGGTTTGCCATTACCTTGTACCACACAGCATCCCCAGTCTTCCTTGGCCATCTCCCATCCAAGTACTAACTATGGCTGATCCTGATTAGCTTCCAAGTTGTGACAAGCTTGGTCTAAGCTGGGCTATTAGGGCCGCTACTCAGAAGAAAGCCCTGTTGAATTCAATGCAGCAGATCTAGCAGTTCTGCTCAGCAAAGTCTGGAATCAATCTTCAAGCCTAAGAAACTCTCCTCCGACTTAAATAGCTCAACAGAAGCGTTTTCCTGTGAAGCTGAAGCTGACTTGGTTTGCCATTGCCTGCCTCTGCGTAGTGGCCCTGGTATTCTTTGGTGGACTCCCATCCAAATACTAACCATGGCTGTCCCTAATGAAGTGTGCATGCAAATGAAAGCTTATACCCAGAATTGAACATTCTTGGTCTTAAAGGTGCCACTGGACTCAAACTTTATTCCATGACTGACCCTGCTTGGCTTCAGAGGTATGACAAGATTTGGCTAGCCTCCCTTAGGCTGGAGGAGAGAGTCAGACTCTGCTGAGCAGTGTGGCTGGAGCCAAGAAGCACACCCCAGTTATGGGGCTTAAATTTACACTGGGAAATTTACTAAGTAGCGATTTGCTTGAGGATTCCGCATACCAAACTATATTGATTCACGCTTTTGCAAGAAGATGCAAGTCAAGAGAATCTGCTTAAGAATCCTCATCCCCCACTCCAAAAAGGGCCAGATCTATAGTATAATCTTCTGTTCCTTGGAAACTTGCCTGTTTGCAAATCTGGCCACCTTCCCAAAGCGTAAAACCTTCCTGTCAGTTTTAATGTGGAACCTGGTCCTATGTACACTTATTTAGAAGAAAGCTGTCCTGAATTCACTAAGGTTTACTTCCAAGTCCATGGGATTAAACTATTACTGAGCTTCAGGTACATACTTAAGTGTTGTCAAGTCGTAACAGGCTTATGGTGATCCCAGCAACAGGCTTTCAAGGCAAGTGAGAAGCTAGGGTGGTTTGCCATAGCCTTCTTCTGCAGAGAGCCAGTTTGGTGGAGTGGTTAAGAGCGCAGACTCTAATCTGGGAGAGCTGGGTTTGATTCCCCACTCCTCCACATGCAGCTGCTGGCGTGACCTTAGGTCAATCACTGTTCTCTCAGAGCTGTTCTCTAGAGAGCAGTTCTCAAAAGAGCTCTCTCAGCCCCACCTACTTCATCACAAGGTGAATCTTGTGGGGAGGGGAAGGGAAAGGAGATTGTAAACCTCTCTGAGACTCTGAGTGAAGCGTGGAGTATAAATCCAGTCTTTTTTCTTCTTCTTCTTCTTCTCCTTCTTCTTCTCCTTCTCCTCCTCCTTCTTCTTCTCCTTCTCCTTCTTCTTCTCCTTCTTCTCCTCCTCCTTCTCCTCCTCCTCCTCCTCCTCTTCTTAAGAAGCTTCCTGGGTGGTCTCCCATCCCAACACCAACGCTGCTTAGCTTCTGAGATCTGACAAGATCATGCTACACCATGCCACCTTCCCTCTCTTGGCTTGAGTATCACTTTTTTGTTCTTGTTGTTCAGTCGCACAGTAGATACTTATTTGACCCTTTCTCTCAGGGCAGTGTGTAATCCCTCCATCCCCCAACAACACTGTAATTTGGTCAAGGTCATCCAGTGAACTTAATGGCATAGTGCAACTAGAACCTGTTTTACATTCCTATCCAAATACTATAATTACTATACTATGCTGGCTGTCTGCACTGCATACACTTATAAAGAAGAATTTGATCAGTTTATTTCCATTGCCTAGGTTTAGGTTTTTATTGGGCATGCATGAAATAATAATCAAAAATGTTTTATCGGACAGTAATGTTTGGACACGAACGAACGTCCCTTGTAACGAAGACTACTGAGCCAGCCTCTAAAGGAATGAACATCATTAATCACCAAGTTTGGTGCAATGAATAAAACCCTCTCTCTATCCCAGTGTTCTCCCCCTCCATACACACCCCTCTTTGGAGATACAGCTGGCTTTCCCTGTGCGTGAGTGCATGTATGCAATTGCCACCTGAATTAAAGATAGATTGGTCAAGCTGTGTAATTTCTTTTCCTTTAAGAGGGAGGGGGGCAGTGGGAGGGGAAAAGAGAGAGAGAGAGAGGATTCCCCCCTCTCTTTCTGCATCAGGGAGCGATTGTCCTGCATGCTGTTCTTGGCTGCCTGCTTATTCTCTCCTTTCTTTCATTTGGAATAGCTGCAGTCCCGCTCTGCATTGCCCCACTGCAGGACCCATCCTTCTTCAGTCCAAGTGGAAAAAGTTCTCTCTGTGTGTCACCCGAGAGAACCCAACGCGGGCAGCGAGCTTTACATTAAGGAAAGATCCCTGCAGCTCTGCATCTTCCTTGCCTCCAGAAAGACCCGTGAGTGATGAAATTAGACTCTCTTTTCATTTTATTACAAAGTGATGCTCTTGGGCTATCAGGTTTCTTCATGGAATCATAGAGTGAGGGGGGGAGGGAAATCAGCAAGTAACACCACCGAATTAATATGGATTACTCATTTTTGTGCAAGAATTTGCTACTTTACAAAAAAAAACACCTCATCTAAACCTTCTTTATTTTAAAGATGCATATATTTATTACTGTTCCTCCAGTCAGTCAAAAAGGTAAGGGCTAGAGTTCTCATGGGAATTCAGCATAAAATGGGACCTATGTCTTCATTCTAAATAATAATAATAATAATTATTATTATTATTATTTCCCAGAATCAAATGATGTAGTGTAGATCATGTCACCGTAATAGAATATCTGGGAGTTCTGTGACTGCAGTTTTTGTTGCTTGCTGATCATATGTTTTTGGCAAGGGCATAACCTTCGTTTTAGGATTATTTCCATGTCTTTTTTGTGGGGTGGGAATCCATCATGCAAGTTTAAAAATCAATCAGTTGTCTTGGGTTCCAACCACACTTTCTCTCCCCTGTCCAACTCTCTCTCTCTCTCTCTCTGCCTCTGTCTGTGTGTGATATAGGGGAAGAGTCTGAGCAATCCCATAAGAATTGCCTCAGGCATCACTGATGCTGTGGGCTATACTGTCTCTGAACATGGAGGTTCCATTTAGTTATAGAATCATAGAATGTTAGAGTTGGAAGGGACCTTGCAGGTCATCTAGCCCAACCCCCCGCACTCTGCAGGCGCTTAGCTGAATGATAGCCCTACAGCACACCCGAAAGATGGTTGTCCAGCCTCCGCTTGAATATAGCTTGAGAATTCTCATACAACTTCAGCTCCAACATGAAGGCAAGGCCTTGATCTTCATGCCCTATTTGCTGGCCCTCCAGAGTAAGGAATTCTTGTAGGGTCAGCTTGTGGTGGAAAACCATAATCCAGTTTAGTTGTGTAACATTGCCCTTGGAATTACAGAATTTAGAGCTTTTCATCTCTGCTGTCAGGCAGTTGTGTAATACAGCTGGCAGAGTGATGGACTTGGGTGATCCTTCGACTGACCACTACACCAAATTGGCTCTCATGTTGAGGCCTTAAAATTAAGTTGAGCATTAGAAGTGCGACGGGCCCTGTTTGCACCTGTGGTAATACTAGTCTTAATAAAACTACGTAGAAGCATGCCTAACTAACACCTGTGCAGTTTTCCGTAGAAAAGCCACATGGATTAGCATCCCTTGGTTGGCTACTAGTTTTGCTGGAGAGAGGTCTTGAAAAGTGTGGTGAGCCAAGGCTTCCATATGATCAGTTTGCAGTTACCATTCCCGGGTCTCCTCAGGGTCAGACCCTGAAACCTGGGAGGTGACACAGGGGAACTGAAAGGTGGAGTCTGGTGGAGCAGGGGTGGAGCCCGGGAGCTGATTGGCAGAATTTATCAGAGTAGTAGGTGGAGCCTGTCATCACTAGTGATTTTTTTTAAAGAGATCTCATGCCTCCTTTAAGTGATCTCCAGTCAGTGCAGGATAAGTCCCTCTTTCCCATATATTCTGAACATACTAGTTGATTATAGCTGGTGTCAGCCTCTCAATCACTTTCTGTCACAGAATGAAAGAAATTAGTCTTAGTTCTATAAGTTCTTAGCTTTCCCTATCATTTTTTAATTTTCACAGCAACTCTGTCCACAGACTGGGGGAGGGGTGTGTGAGAGAAAATGGCTTCCCTGAGGCCATCTAATGAGTCCCTGACAGAAATGAGGGGGTGGGAACCTGTGGGATTTGAAGCACCTGGTCATAGGTTCAAACCTGTGACATCCCAGATCTCGTTTTGCTGATGGATTGGCAGGAAAAAACCAAAGTCTTTCTTCCCACAAGGTGTAATTAACTTATGGACGTGATATACAGTATGGGTTATGCTACTGAAGCGGTTGTTCTATTGACAGAACACTGTCATCATTTAATTTAAATGGAAGATAGACACACGGAGCTCACTGCAACATTAGCTTGGATCAGTGGCCTTCAGCCGATGGGCCAGTAGTGTTAGCTGGGTCATGGAGCTGCTACTTGGGGGGGGGGCTACCTTTGGGAAGGGCCTCCTTGCTAATGCAGATGTGCATGCCCTCTCTTGCTGTGCACACACACTGAGAGGAGGGGCAAGGTATTCAGACTGGAATAAAATGCATCAAAGGGTGAACTGAGAGCCAATTAGTTGTAGCGGTTAGGAGCGTGGACTCTAATCTGGGAGAACTGGGTTTGATTCCCCACTCTTCCACATGCAGCTGATGGTATGACCTTGGGTCAGTCATAAGTTCATTCAGAGCTGTTCTCTCACCAGCAGTTCTCGAGCAGCTCTCTCAACCCCACCTACCTCACAGGGTGTCTGTTGTGGGGAGGGGAAGGGAAGGGAAAGGGATTGTAAACTGCTCCGAGACTCCTTCGGGTAATGAAGGGCAGGGTATATATCCAATCTTCTTCTTCTTTAAGTTTTAGAACAAAGTTTTAAGTCCAGCGGCACCTTTAAGACCAACAAAGTTTTATTCAAAGTGTATGCTTTCGTGTGCAAGCACAATTCTTCAGATACAGCCATAGAATCATAGAGTTGGAAGGGACCTCCAGGGTCATGTAATCCAACCCCCTGCACAATGCAGGAAATTCACAAATACCTCCCCCCACCCCCACCCCAGTGACCGCTGTTCCACACCCAGAAGATGAAACAGAATTTCCTCAACCATTACGTATAGGAAGAGAGAGGGTTGTGTGTGGAGGGTTTTGCCAGGAAGGGTTAGTTAGAGTGCGTTCAGATAGGCAGCTAACCCCGCCATTATGCCGGCTCACATTTGATCCCGATCTTTTAAATCCGTCCTCGCACGACCAGACATCCCCTGGGGGAATCACCTTACCGTGCGCTGCTTCTGCTGTGGATTGTCTAGACGCCATCCACTGAAGGAGGCACTCGTGGTGGTTTAAAAAAACAAAAAAAAACTACTTTTGTGCATGCGCATAGGCAAGATATCGCAGCCTTGTTTATCCACGCATGCACAGAATCAAGATTTTTAAACAAAGGCGCCTGTTCAGGATGGTCTGACGTCAGACTGTCCCGAACAGGCACCATTTTTAAATCGTGCGCTGGAACGCTCAGACAGGGGAAAGTCCGCGAATGGCTTGTCAGGAACCAAAAACTCCAGATTTTAAGTAGTACCTTTTTAGTACAGCTCCGAAGCGCGGCAAAACAGGATGCTCATGGAAGATGGACGTTTCCCAGATGTTGATGTCTGGACATTACATTTAAATCCGTGCCTTGCGTGGATCTAAAGAGCCATCTGATCAGACCCTTAGAATCAAGATGCATAAGTAACTGGATGATTATAGCTAAGATTGGATTAAGGCAGTTCTGTGAGTGGCAGTAAATTAATACACAAGAGTAAATTAGCATACAAGAGTTAACAAACAGATGTGAGAATGAATTGAAAATCTACCCCTTCTATGCAGGCTTCTGGATCCCCAACTCTGCTATTTTATTCCTACCCTTGGGAATTCCATGAAGGAAGCTAAAACTTTTAGTGGGACCCTGAGACCTAGAATTGCCAACCTCCAGGTGCAGTCTTAGGGTTGTCTGGGATGATCTTTTAATAAAAGATTTTTAAAAATTAAAACCTCATTGGTGGCTTCTGGGTATTCCCTGAAAGTGATGTTATTGTGCGGGCGATACTGGTGAGTTTTAATTTAAAAAAATAATAATTTTTTTTTTAATGTTTAATTTTCCAGTGGCGGGGAACATGAATTCAGGGCAGGGGATCCCCCAACTGGGGGCTTGGCAGCTCTATGCAGCCCAGGGATCTCCCAGGATCATAACTGATCTCCAGCCTACAGTTCTTCTGGAACTGCAGTCGGAGTTGTCAACCTGAATAATAACCTTCTGGCAAGTCCTATTGCTACATCTGCTTCCCCCTCCATATATTGCCCTTTCTCTGCTGGGTTAGCAATTTGTATCATGATTCAAAGGGTTAGCAGCCTCCAGGTGGTTGCTGGAGAACTCCTGGGATTACGACTGAGATCAGTTCATCTGGAGAAAATGACCTCTTTGGAAGGCAGACTCCAAGGCATTATGGCCTCATTGAAGTCCCCTCTCCAAACCCTGCCTTCCTCAGGCTCCACCACCCAAATCTTCAGTTATTTCACAACCTGAAGTTACTAATCCCTGGTTGATTTGATGGTAGAATTACCAAGCTGGTTTCTTTTTTACTGGCCCTCTTTCTGTAGTTTTAACTTCAGCCTGACTTATTGACACTAACAAGCAATGTTGCTTTTTGTGTATTCTAAGAAGTGCCATCAGATAATTCCCAGATATAAAATGCTGCTGCAGGAGCAGTCTTCTTCTTCTTTTCTTCTCCTTCTTCCGTCTAGCCACCCTTTTTGGCAGCAGGGAGCTTTGGGAAAGTGAAAGTGGCATTACACACTACCATGACATCACTTCCAGGTGTGCCCAGAAGTGACATCATGGCATCATGCAATGTTCTAATAAATTCCCAGATCTCTATAGTTTTTAACCATAGAGATTTAGTGGCAGCAGCAGCAGGAGCCCAGGGGTTAGGAGTGGAAGATTGCCCACCATAGTGGGCAACCTGGCAAGGCAACTTTGGGTGGGTGTGTTTGCTTCCTGCTCTCAGGGTTGACTTTTTCCTTGTCTTCCCCTGTATCAGCCTGACTGGCTTTCTATCTGGTTCTTGACTGTTTGCTGTGCAAAATTATTTACTCTTTGCTTTGAACCAGATACCATCTTGGATTGCTCAAGATGATGGGACAAAAAAGTATTGGTAAACTGGCCTCTCCTGGTTCGTGTCTCAGGGCCTTTTCATGACCTCTTTTCAGCTTTTAGGATGGCTAGCCTGTTAAGGCTACACACTAACTCATGTAAAACCATCTTGTGGGTTCAGCATACAGCAAACAAAAAGAACCAGTAGAGATTTGCAAGGCTCCACAGTGTGG